CCCTTAGGACATGCTTGTTCTTTTCGGATGCAAGTTAGACCTTAGGTTGCAAACCATGCATTCTAACATTAGGTAAACATTTTCCTTTCATCCTTGATGTAGGGCCACCATTGTATGATAACATTAGGCTAGAAAAATGGCTAGTCCCCCGTAGACTCTTTTCTTCCATTTTGCATTTTCATCAAAAACTAAAACTCTCTCTTCTTAACAAATAAAAAACACTCTAATCACACTTAAACCCTTTTTCAAGGTAATAAAACACTAACCAATCAAATGTGGCATCTTTCCTTGATGACGTAACTCAAAACCATTTTCAAGAAAGGACATGATTAATTTACTTTTGTGCCAATGTGTGAGTCTCCAAAGGTCGAGCTGCGTCAGAAGGCGAAATTAACATTGTTCGTAAAAAACACAAAATAAACAAAACATGTGAGCGGAACTACGATAACTCTGATTCCTCAAAAAGGATACGTAGGCATTGGGGTAGGGCCCAAGCGAGTACGACTTTATTTTCCCTACATTATTTTCTCCTTTCTTTCGCATGCATTCTTCCTCAATAGTAAATAGTAAGCATAGATTAGACACACCCATAAGATAGATAACATGAGTGGATACCGTAGAGTACTACGAGCGTGTGGGGTGCTAATATCTTCCCCTCGCGTAACAGGCTCCCTTACCCGATCTCTCGGTCACAAGACTTTGACTTTTCCCTCCTTAGGTTTTCTCGATGTTTACCTTTCTCTTCATGTGGGATTAAAGACGTTCGATGGCGACTTCATTGTTTGATGATTTTCAGACGGTTATTTCACCCGATGACATTATTATTATGTTTTATGCAGGATTTATGCCCTGGTTTGAGAATGTGAATTTATTTTGCATGAGAAGACTTTATATCCTCAGCATGAATATATTGACACTTCCACAGAGAAGTCATATTTCATTGCCAAAAGGATTTCTTATAACAAGAAATGGCAGGTCTCTTTATTTGAGAAACCTGTACTTCCCCAGTAAGTTTATTAGTTCCCAGAGAAGATTCATTTTGTTACTCCAATGAATGGTAGTCTCGTTATTATGAGATATAGTTCGTTGTTGAGATTTATACTCCAATGGATGGTAGTCTCGTCATTATGGAGTTAGTTCGTTGTTGAGATTTGTACTCCAATGAATGGTGGTCTCGTCATTATGGGAGATAGTTTGTTGTTGAGATTTTTTTACTCCAATGAATTGTAGTCTCGTCATTATGGGAGATAGTTCATTGTTGATATTTGTTTACTCCAATGGATGGTAGTCTCGTCATTATGAGAGATAGTTTGTTGTTCAGATTTGTACTACAGTAGATGGTAGTCTAGTCATTATGGGAGATAGTTTGTTGTTAAGATTTTTACTTCAATGGATGGTAGTCTCGTCATTATGGGAGATAGTTCATTTTTGAGATTTGTTTACTCCAATGGATGGTAGTCTCGTCATTATGGGAGATAGTTCGTTGTTGAGATTTGTACTCCAATGGATGGTAGTCTCGTCATTATGGGAGATAGTCCATTGTTGAGATTTGTAATCTAATGGATCGTGGTCTCGTCATTATGGGACATAATTCGTTGTTGAGATTTGTACTCCAATGAATGATAGTCTCGTCATTATGGGAGATAGTTCGTTGTTGAGATTTGTTTACTTCTATGAATGGTAGTCTCGTCAATATGAGATATAGTTTATTGTTGAGATTTGTTTACTCCAATGGATGGTAGTCTCGTTATTATGGGAGATAGTTCATTGTTGAGATTTGTACTCCAATGGATGGTAGTCTCGTCATTTTGGGAGATAGTTCATTGTTGAGATTTTGTTACTCCGATGAATGGTAGTCTCGTCATTATGGGAGATAGTTCTTCGTTGAGATTCACTTTGCTCTAAAGACTTCATATGTTTCCATTCATAAGTACTGATGCTAATCGCTTGTTTCCTATCCTAATATCGGTATTTACCAGTATTATCTTACCATTTCCATTTTGCATCTTCCGGGGTGCTAATCTCCTATTCCCTGTGAGTCAACTTCACTTTTTTACTATCTTCTCTATGAGTGGATAGTTCGCAGTTATCTGTCGATCTTTTCCATCCATTACTTTTTCCTCAATGTTTTAATTGATTATGCTTTATCTCCTCCTTGGGCTTTAACCCAGTAGAATCGAGTCTTTTGTTTACCAATGATTTATTTTCCTGGTCAGATTTTCTTTTGATCCTTTATTTTATTTTCTGCTTCTCCAGTGGTGTCCTGTGTCAACTTTAGATTTGTTTGCATGCACAATCATAAGCATTGCATGGCATCTTAGGACAAAAAATAAGGCTTGTTTTATATTTAAGTATCTTCAATCGCGTCGACACGAAGATTTTAACCTTTACATCTCCAGATAAAAGACACTTAAATAAGGGAAGTTGTTTTACCCCAATTTTTGCCCCTAAGATTCATCTATCATCTCATATCAACTCAATCATATCAAGATCACACTTGAGTTTAGTTCTTTTCCCTATCTCTAGGTTTACTCATGAGGGATCACCAAGCACTTTAATTTGTATATTGTGAGCATATATGTCTTGTATTGATTAACTTTTAACTAACAAATACAATGAATGTTTGCTCCAAATAATGATCCTATAGGTGAGGGCACAACACATTTCATCAGGTTGATTCATAGTTTCATGAGTTTATTTCCATGTCTTTTTCAACAAAGCTTCATTGAGATTCAAGCTTCATCATTGAGGGTGCTTTAAAGTAATATCATGACAAGGTCTAATATGGTTCATTATGCCTCAATTTGTCAAAGGAAGTCAAAAGATGCAAGAATTGATTGAAAAGGTTTGACCTAATTGGACAAGTTCTTGATTCCTTAGTCTCAAGTGCATAACTCTCTCATTTCTTGATATTTGGAAGTGGTTATTGTTTCTATGGGTTCTTCTTATCATCCACAACAACTTCTATTCACGTGGCAAAAGTGATTGTGCAAGAAAGATTGTCAAAATTGAAAGGAGTTTTCAAGTCATTTTGGTGCTCTAGGAGCTAGGGTTTTGAACTTCTAAGGGCTCTATCTTGTTCATCTTTTGAGATTTTTGAGTGATTCCAAAGACATGCTTCTCTTTAAAGGGTTATCAACCAATCACTTCAAAAGTTTCAAGCAAATTTTGTGTGGAAGATTTCTAATGATGGAGAAATATTACAAGTCCTCTAGATAGTCCATCAAATTCCCTTATGTGACTTCAAACAAGGTATTTCTCAAAAAAAAATTAGTAAAACAATATTTAAATGATTAATAAAAAAGAAAATAAATGGTAAAATACACAAAGTATATTAAAATATCAAATAAAAATCCTAAAAAATAGTCGGAGGTCAAATATGAGTCAATAAATGTTGACAAAAAATTTCATAATTTTTTAAAGTCGGAAACTATTTTTAAAAATTGGAGAAAATAAGCAAAATAAATCAAAATTTGTGAAAAATAGTAAAATCAGAAATAAAGGAAAATAGAAACGTTGGATCATACCATAATTTTTTTAGAATTTAAAAATTAAGAAAAATATTTTTTAATCAATTAAAACAAGTTAGTTAAAGTGAAAAATTATAAAAAATATCAAATCATAAAATAAAATTGTGAAAAAATAAAAATCAGAAAGACAAAAATCCGAAGTATTTTTTAGGATTTTTTCAGATTTTTTGAGTCAGAAATGAAATTTTTATAAATTTTTGAAGTTTAAATCAATTAAAATATAAAATCAGAAAATAAAAATAAAACCAAAAAGATATAGACCATTGGATCAATGTCAAAACGCGTTAGTAATCAAATCCAAGAGATCTGGCGCGTTGTGCATATCATGGTCGTTAGTGAATAAATCACTGGATCAAATATTTAAAAACAAAATTTGAAAAAACGTGTGGCAAATTTTCATTGGTTGAAGACGCCAGCGTGGTCGTCTTCAACCTCTAGCCAACCTCAAAATCAGGTTTCTCAAACTGTAAAATTAGAGGTTCAGATCAATGTCATTCGCTTCGTCTCATCAAGACGAAGACAACTGTACCCTCTGAAGCCTTCTTCCCATGTCGATATTTCGTAGTAAGATTGTCTTGTATGTTAGAATAACAATGCAAGTGTGAGTAAGTGTAGAAATAGTTCCACATTAAATAGAAATGTAGAGACTTAAACATATATAAGTGGGAGAACCCGCTCACCTATCACCTTAAGGTTGTAGGTGGATAAGTTGTGTATCTCTCATAAAAATGCCTAGTACACTTGAAAAAGAGTGCTAGAATAACAATGCAAGTGTGAGTAAGTGGAGAAATAGTCTTAATTGAATAGAAAATGATACGTCTCTCACAAAGGTGCTAATCTTACCCTATATATCAATACTTCTAGTAAACTCTCACCAACATTATATACTTATTTAAGGAAGTACACACTTCCAAACCAATTCCGCTTGTCTCCCTCATTTTCATTAATTTTGATTTTCTGCACTATTTCCTTAATCTCCATTTCTTAGGCTCTTTCACTTTCTGCAAGTTACTTTTCCATCTCAACCTACACTGCATTGACTCTTCACTGTATATCCATTCTCTAAGCAATGTGTCTTTATTTTTAGCCAGCACGAAAATCCTTGGAAAGACATCTTTCATGATTTTGCCCTCATCCAATGGATCCAGCTAAATGATGTGTCTACCCCATTTCCTATAATTTTTGTTAAATTTTCTTAAAGAAACAAGCTTTAATGAGAGTAGCCCATTGATTGTTCAAAGATATCAACTCTCAAGTAAAGTTACAAATTATTCAGACACTACATAACAATATAATATGAATGATAGACTTAACTAATTTAACTCTGCCAATAATAATGAATAAAAGAGTCACATCAATTAATTATAAGTCAGTGCTGGTGCTAATTTAAATTTGACAGAGTTTAAAATGAAACAAATAAATTTAAAAACTTAAGCATAAACTGTCTCTATCATGAAGATGTTATCTGTTTTAGTAACTATTGGCAATATTCAACAAAGAGGAATATGTTCCAAGGAGTCCACAAATCATTCCGGCTGCAGCAATTATGACGCTCATGGTAACCTGGTAGTGTTAAAATAAGAAAAAACAAATTCAGTAAATTGCAGATTTAGCGAAAGAAAAGAACTAAACACATTCAAGCATTCTAAAAGTGTTTCTCAATATCCGTGAATATTCTCAAAGGTTTTTTAATTCTTAAAGCAATGAATCTTAATAATCTCTTTATTTGTATTTCTAATTTTCTTTCATTAAGATTTCACCGTACAACAAAAGTGACGTAGAAACACATTTATAAAAGTCTAGAACCCTAGAAACCCGACTTGAGGACCCTAAATGCGCTCAACACTTATCCAATGCCATGCGCACTTGACAATTTGAAAATCGGTCAAATATGTTGAATCACTTAAGATTTTGAGATATTCTTCCACAATTCTCCATCATGATTAAAAATCGATGGTGATTCTATTTTAACCTCTAGCCACCTTGGCGCTCTCTCCAAAATTTAAATCACTCTTTAAAAACTTGATCAAGAACAATGCTTGAACCTTGATCTAGGAAATGATTTGGTAAACACAATTATCTTCTAAAGCCATTTTTTGAACCACAACATCCTCTAATTCAATCATGTCCATTATAACACTACTATAAAATACACAAATGTAACATGGTATTACCATGTCTATTAAATCAACCGAGCTAATAGCTCTTATTTAGACACTTGCTTTTTATTTCTTTTATTAAAATACATTTTACTATGGTCCATAGTAATAACCGTAGTGATATGTTAAAAAGCCTACAGGTTTCGAATCTCAACAACTATAATTTTTCTTTTTTGTTTACAATATGGACATGTCACTTAAAATCTTAATATTTATGTTAAAAATAAAATACATTTGACCATGGTCTAAATAGAAACCGTTGTGAGATGTACCTACATTTATTCACAGTCGTTTTTAGCGACCGTAGTGAAAAGTGTAACATATATTTAAGCGAAAGTTCGTTCTTTCACGACAAAAGATCCGTCTCTCTCAAAATGAAACTCTACCACTCTCTCACGCCTTATCCTTACTCCATGAACAGTCTATACCACTTCTTCATAAAACTCCAACATATCTTCTTCATCTCTTATGGATCAAGAAAAGATGCTACACAAAACTCGTTACTTTCACTTCCTCTTCATATTTTAGGTACATGAGGTGTTTCCATATTTTATGTTGTCATTGATTTTGCTTTTGTTGTTATATGTTGTATATTCTTTAAGGTGTGTTGTTTATGATTTATTTTATGTTGATATATGTTGTATGTTGTTGTTGTTAAAAATTATATGTTGTTGATGATTTAGTTTTTGTTGATAAAGGTTTTATGTTGTTTAAGGCATGTTGTTGTTGATAAAAGATGTATGTTATTGATGATTTACTTTTTGTTGATATATGTTGTATGTTGTTGTTGATAAAAGTTGTATGTTATCGATGACTTTGTGTTTGTTGATATGTGTAGTATGTTGTTTAAGGTATGCTGTTGTTGATAAAAGTTGTATGTTGTTGATGATTTAGTTTTGTTGATATATGTTGTATTTTGTTTAAGGTATGTTGTTGTTGATGAAAGTTGTATGTTATTGATGATTTAGTTTTTGTTGATATATGTTGTATTTTGTTTAAAGTATGTTGTTGATGTTATTGATGATGATTAATATGTTATATGTTGTTTATTTTTAATGATATACCTTGTACATTTCAGCTTTCACTACGTTAAGCCAACATGCCTTATAAGATGAGTTTATAATGTCATATATAATTTGAGTGTTTTACCAACCCGTCAGTAACTAAATAATCTTTCTAATTGATTTATAAATTTCTAATTTGTGTTTTTCCCACAAATTTCAGTATGTGGTGGTAAAGAGTGCACTTACTACCACACCCTACTTTACCACAAACCTCCACCCATGGTAATATCCTTTACCCAACAGTGATTAAATGTCATTTCCGTATTAGTGTGAAATGCAAACAAATGTCAATGTGCTTTTCCTCTCATGATACACTTGATAATTGACTAAGTGAATGACATTTTAACTATCACAATGCATCTTCGCACATTTTGTAATCATCCCTAACTCCACAATCATAACTCTCAACCCTATAACTTATTTGACCCCCTTCAACAAGGGAAATATACTCTTCTTGAGTAGCAGATAACATGACCATTGATTGTTGATTTGTTTTACAATTTAAAGTTGTTCTAAATAACATAAACACACAATCTGATAAGAATATTCCATTGTCCATATTACCTACATAATTTGCATCAACAAAACCCTCTAAAGTGTCTTCTTTTTTAGCTTCCTCTGGGTATTTCAAACCATCCTTAAATAAATTGTTCAAATATCTCATCACCCAACTCAAAGATTCTCAATGAATATGACCAGGATTTTTCAGAAAATGACTTACTATGCTAATTCCATATGATGTGGTACAACCAACCTTCTAATTCTATCACATGCAAACTGGTAATTAAAAGCCATTGTAGGTTTCCCCATAAGAGAACTTGAAATAGGAGTCTTAACATCTACTTGATATCTTGTCTCACTAGTAGGAACTTTCACCTAAAACCCAGTCTTCTTCACTATTGTTTCTGCTTCTTTCACTTTCAGGTCTTTTCACTATACATGTCTAATCAAAATTAACATCCCTGCTTAGAACAAATTTTTAATATCCAAGATTCATCTTGTAACCCTTCGCATCTTTAGCATAATCAACTAAGACACACTTTATATCCCTAGTATCAAACTTGTCTTGCTTGATATGTGCAAACGTAAAAAATCTAACACAACAAAAGTGATAGAGAACCACATTTATAAAGGTCGGGAACCCAAGAAACCCAATTTGTAGACACAAAACGATCATGCTCAAAAACAAGAAAAAAATTATTGAATCACTTGATATTTTGAGACATAATTCCACAATTACTTTCGGTAATTGAGGCACCATACATGTAGAATCTAAGCATCATGAAAAAAAATCACTTGAGAAATGAGATAATCATATAGAATGCATACTTGTTATGTGAGACCAATATTGTCGAATAGTATGGAATATACGTGGTTTATCATATTCTCTTAATTATAGAGTGACACTAGGTGGTTATTTAGTATCGGTTATTGGTGGAGTTGGAGCTCTTTGTGATAGGATGATTGTTTGGATTGACTTGAGTATGTGTGGTTGCTTCAGACTCACATATTGATTATCTTTTTTACCTAGTTCTTTTGAATCTTGGTATCCGGACTTGCGATCAACTAATCCAAGAGGATGAATTCCACCTTCCACTAGAGGGTATCCCATTTAAAGCAAGAGCAAAGCTCTTTATGGACTGACTTGAATATTAGACTTGATTTAAATTTGTATCGTATATTTTATTACATTGTTGAAGTATGTCTTAAAATCTTAAGTGATGAAGATAAAGAAAACATGTCTTGAGACAACAATTTTGGATTGTGGAAAGTAAAAAATGCAAGCAATTTTAACTTAAAAAATATATTGAAACATTTAAGGATGATTCATCAATGAATGCACGACTAATACAAGCAGATAAGACCAATATGGTGGATAAGGCCAAAAATGTCATCATCTTGTACCTCAGGGATAAAGTTCTAGAGGAAGTCGCCAGGGAAAAGAATGCAACTATGATTTGCGAAAAATTAAATCATTGTATATTACTAATTCATTGACTCATAGGTTGTGTCTGAAATAACAACTATACTCATTCTGAATGGTAGGGAATAAATCTATAGTATAGCAGTTGACATGATTTCTCAAGATTATTGAAGATCTAGAGAATATTTAGGTGAATATTGAAGATGAAGAAAATTCTCTACTCTTGTTGAACTCATTACTAATATCCTTTGATAACTTTAAGGACACTCTTCTTTATGGTAAGAAATGTACTATTACTTTGGATGAAGTCTAGACGCATGTGAGATCCAAAGAACTTTCAAAGACAAAAGATTTGAAGATTGACTATAGTCGTGAAGGCTTGAGTGTTTCAAGAGGAGAAAATGGGAATAGCGGAATGTCTAAATGAAAGAGTTTTGACAAGTCAAATTTAAAATGCTTTATTTGTCAAAAACTTGATCACTCCAAGAAGGATTGTCCCGAAAGGGAGGACAATTAACATTATGTTCAAGTAAACGATGCATTCGACGAGGATAGTTATGAGAGTGATGGTTCATTAATGGTGTCGAGTTTGGATATTGAAGATGGTTAGATCATGGACTTAGGTTTATATTATCACATGTGTCTAAGAAAATAATATTTAGAGACATTGAAGTTGGAGGAAGGTGGAGTAGTTCACCTTGATGACAATAAGGCTTTCAAGGCTTATGGTATTGGTATTGATCATTTTTAAAATATTTGATGATCATGAGTTTTTTTCCTCACAACGTGAGGTATTTTATAGAGCTTAAGAGAAATTAGTTATCCATAGACATGTTTAATGATCTAGGCTATTACACTAAAGTTGAACATAGGATGTTGAAGATTTCACATGGTGAAGTGATCATAACTAAAGAGTCTAAAATATGTGGCTTATATATTTTAGAAGGTTTCAATTTTGTTTTTCATTTATGAAATTAACAAACTATGAGATTTGAAGTCAAGGCACGAAGGGTGCATGAAGATTGTTTCAGAGCACTCTAATGATTTTTGTAGAAAACAATAGATAAAAATGCATTTGACCATTAAGCTGTCATGAAGCTTCTAGAATAAGTTTGGTGCCAAAAATGCTTACTTATTCATTTATATGAACAAACTTCCAAACACTTATGGAGTTTTGGAGTAAAAAGACTCTAACCTACTTTGTTTTGAATGTCGTCAAAACTTTATTAATTTATCAAATCAAGTCAATTCAGCTTGAAAATGAAGTTGTAGATTGTCTCTTCAATGGCTATCAAGAGGTAGGAAGGGTTATGAGCAGTTCGGAATGGATCTTGGAGGATCGAAGTTCATCAATCTCGGATGTATTACTTTTAGCGAGTCTGTTTCTTAAAGGATTATGTTTTGAACTTGTTATGG